ATGTGCTCCTCGCGGGCAGGGATACAACGGCTAGTCTGCTGAGTAATATGTTCTTCATGCTGGCGAAACATCCCGAGGTGTGGGCGAAATTGAGGCAGGAGGTGGTGACGAAGTTGGAGGGGCGGTTGCCCTCGTATGAGGAGCTGAGGGGGTTGAGGTATTTGAGGTATTGTGCTAATGAATGTGAGTGTTCTTCCTTTTGGTGGGTGGTTAGGAAAGGTGGTCTGATGCTGATGCTTTGTGATGCTAGCGCTCCGACTACACCCCGTCGTCCCGATGAACGATCGCGTCGCGGTGAGGGATACGGTTTTGCCGGTTGGAGGTGGTAAGGATGGGCTCTCGCCGGTCTTTGTACCCAAGGATACAATTGTCGCGTATAACGTGTACGCCATGCATCGGCGGAAGGACTTCTATGGTGACGACGCGGAGGTCTACCGGCCGGAACGGTGGGAGGATGGGCGGCTGCAGCCGCGATGGGAGTACCTGCCATTCAACGGGGGACCACGGATCTGCATCGGGCAGCAGTATGCGTTGACGGAGGTGGCATATGTGACGGTTCGTCTGGCGCAGGAGTTTCAGGGGCTGGAGAGTCGGGATCTGGGCCCGTGGGAGGAGTCGTTGACGCTGACGGTGTGTTCGCGCAACGGGACCAGAGTATGTTTGAGGCCGGCCTGATTCTCTATTTCGCTTAATGGAGCTATATGGGCATAGAGCCTAGCGAGTATAAATCTCTCCTAGGAACTATCTCTTCAGAGTTCGTGCATACTTACTAAGAACGGAATGATATTCTCCTGACTTGGAAGTGATACCACACTTCGAAGCTGGCCCTAATGGTGCCCTTTCATCCTCACCCACGCCTCATACTGATCCTTTACGACCTGCTCGACGGGTAAATACTCCATTCCCAGCTCTCTCACACTCCGACCATTATCCACCTTGAAATCAATCCCGATGTTCCTCGACACCCAGCTCCGCGACAGCCCGATGAATGGCCCCGCCAGATAAACCATGAGCTTCGGCAGATTGCGTGTGGGCAACACCTTGGGATCCTTATGGATCGGTCGCACGATCTCCGCCATCTCCAGCAACCCCACCGTGCGATCGCCCGCAATCAGATACCGACCGTTGGCCGTCTTGCTCGTCCCGGCCTTGACGTGGGCTGCCGCGACGTCCCGCACGTCGACGACGGGGTAGTATAGCTCGGGTGTGCCCTGCCTGTTCTGGCCGGAGAAGATGTTCTCGATTGTGAACAAGCTACCCGAGGTGGACTCTGTGGTGAGAGGGGGCCCCAGGGTAAGGCCTGGGTTGATGACAACGAGATCCCATCGTTTGTGAAGCTGGCCGTCGTGCAGCTTCCAGGCTTCCCGTTCAGCGGCGACCTTAGAGTAGTGGTAGGGGTTGTTGGTCTCGGTAGCGGTGTCATTCCAGTAGGCTTCGGTGAGGGTGCTGTCTTTCATCTGGGTGACTTCGATGCTGTCGCTGTACATTGCTGCGACTGCCGAGTTTTACTGCGTGTTAGATGGCAAACAGACAAGGTGGAGGGGCTGGCTGGCTTACTTGAAGAGGTCAGGACAACGCGGTGCACGCTCTCGCATTGGTTCACCGACTCCAGCACGTTGCGAGTGCCCTGCAGAGCGGGCTCAACGCATTCCTTCAGACCATTTTTGATCTGAGGGGGTGCCAGAAATGGCGATGCAACGTGGTAGACAACGCTGCAGCGCTCCATCGCGGGGCGGAAGGAGCCATCCCGGAGAAGATCAGCTTCGAACAGAGAAAGTCTGCCTGGATACTGGGCTTGGAGATCGAGAAGCGGCTTGCATTTGGCGGCGTTCTTGAGGCTGCGGACGGTGGTGTGGACGGCTTCTCCCTTCTCGAGGAGGAGCTTGACGACGTGCAGGCCGATGAAGCCTGTGCCACCGGTAATCAGTGAAGTCGGCATCGTCATTTGAGGGTGTTCGTGCTGTGAAGCAGTATTGTAATGTGAGCCGTGGTGATATGCCAGAGGGTAATGGGCATCGGTTCCTGGGAGGGGATGCTCCTTTTAACTCGGTCGGGGGTTGTGATTAGGGCTGGTGCCGTTGCAAATCTATGAATAAGGGTCTATTCATTTTGTGCGACTTAGTTATTTGGGTGAGCCCTCGGAAGGATAGCAGGTGGCTGTTGCTATTGTCGGAGTCCGAGCCTATGCTCAGGGTTCCAGGATGGCGTGGATCACGGCAGCCCATAGACCGTTACACCCTCGGTTCTTAGTGCATAGGGGCTTTGACTTCTAGGTCTGACCTGCTTCAATATCTCAACTCGACCAGGTCAGCTCTTACTCTAGGGCTTGATCATCAAATGCTCTGAGGTTGTGCCTCGGTTGTCATGCGTTTCAAGATGTCAATATTCCTGTAAATAATCACATCATTCAATGATATAGCTCTTTACGCAACCAGGCAGTTCTGAACCCACCTATTGATGCGCACTTGATTCTCAGAACAAACTACTTACGGGTCTTCGTGCATAGAATACTGGGAAGGCCGACTAGCCATCTCATCGCAACTATAGCCGGCCAGTGATGTTCTGTCGGGATACCTTCTGCTTCCCAAAACATAGGCCGCAGTGACACTCTATTTTTAGCCCTGCCAGCAGGTCTCCGTGGCGCTTCCTTGTCATACTAAACCCTTAGATTTATCGAAATTTCAACCCGGCCGATTATTTGATTCTGCGGGTATTACCAAGTTGTATTGTACATTCAGCTACTTTCGAACGCGACTTGCTCCATTGATTAGGCCTAAGAGAATTGAGCTATGTGCATCACATTTCAAAATCGATGACATTCTATCATAAATCAGCGCGACCCTGGTCTAGCGCTGGAGTACAGTTGTAGTGCAAAGGGTCTAGAAGACTAAGACAGTACGAACAAAACACGCTAATAAGACAGACACCAAATCTTTACAACTGACTCCTCAGCAAAGACACATCCTGCTTCAGCGCCAACTTGCTGATATCAGCACTGGGGGTCTTGCCGGTCAAGAGCTCGGAAACGACCTGACCCGTTCCCAAGGCCAGAGTGATGCCCCACGGGCCGTGTCCGCTGGCCACATACACCCTGCCTCCAGCGCTGCTCACAGCCCCCGTGACTGGCGAGATAATCGGAGAGCCTGTCGTCGAAACCGGCCTGAAACACAAGCCCTCACTGACAATCTCCAAATCACTCTTCGTCGATGCATCACTGCCTGTCAACAGGCGGGCCACCTCCCGCAACCGCTCCACCTGCTTCTGATCCCGCAACTTCGGAATCTCGCCCGCCACCTCCGGCAACGGCATCTGATCACTATTCAGCCCCGCGATGTAAATCTCAGGGACCCCCTCGTGATTCACCCGGCCGAGCATCTCCGGCGCAAATTCCCACTGCGGGCCGGGGGCGCAGAAAATCGAATGGTCCTTCTGCGCCACGGAGCGGGTATACCGCGGCGAGCGCACGATGACACTATACCCGGCGAGCCCATTAATCCCGACCGCCATCTTGCGCTTGAACAGCGTCTGGAACACGCGGGGGGTCCAGCACCCGGCGGCAATGACGAGATCCTTGCAGGGCAACGAGATCTCGACGGGGGTGCTGTGCACCGACATGCGCTGCTCAGCCGTCACCGCCTCGATCCGGCCCTCGCGGTCCACCTTGAACCCCGTCGCGCGGGTATCCAGCAGGATCTCCACCCCGCGCTCCCGACACTGCACCAGCAACCACTCCACCAGCGCCTTGGGGTCGACCTGCGCGCACCCCGCGTCACTCGAGATCTCCTCCACCACGCACTCCGCCGGGCGATTCATCCACGTCGGCGTGCCCTTGCCATCCAACCGCCCATCCTTCTCCCCTTTGCCCTTGCTGGTGACGCTAGAAGACGGGGAAAACTGCTTGGCCACCTCCGCGCGACTCGTGCCCGACAGCAACCAGTCCTCCCCGCGCACCTTCCCGCCGGTCTTCCGGCCGTGCGCGTCGAGCTCGTCCATCGTCACGCCGAACGCCTGGCTAGCGCTGTAGCCCCATTTCTTGCGGCCGCCGTGCGCATCCGCCAGGGACTGGTGCAGGCGGAAGGAGAGGTCGGCGAGCGAGGTGACATCGTCCGAGAACCAGTCCTTGGCGATGAAGCCGCCCGAGAAGCCCGAGGCGGACTGGAAGAGGGCCGAGGCCGAGTCGACGATCTGGATTGTGCGGGTCGGATCGGCGAGCGAGGCGTAGTAGGCCGTCGAGAGGCCGATGATGCCGCCTCCGAGGATGATGAGGGACATTTTTTTTATTTCTTTTCGGTGCTTGGAGCTGAACTTGATGGTGATGGCCGGGTGGCGGTTTTGTGCTAGGTTTGTTTAAGTGCGAATGCAATTGAGGAGTGGCAGGGTAATTGTATGCTGTGCTGTTGAAGATACCGGGGGCTGCACTGGGAAAGAATCCAGCCTCAAGCGCGCGGTTATATACTCGCCCTCTTTTTCGTGGGCGGTGGCAGGAGTTTTCCGGCGCCTCGGAAGATTTGGCCCATTTCGGGGGGACGGTGCGAGGATTGCTCCACCCCAGTGTGGAGTTTACCGCGGGGAAAGTAGGGTTACCCTAGTCTGCTTTGGGAAATCCGTTCCCTGTCTACGCCCTGGGGTTGACAAGGATGGGGTCTAGATTGGTGAGGGTGCGACCATTGTGTAAGTTGGTTAAGGAGCGGGTGGAGTATGATCTACTAGAAGATTGATATTGTGGTGGGATGGATCTTTGTGTGTTGCGTTTGTCGTATGACCGCGGGCAATCCACAGGGCGGATGCGGGATGCATCAGGAGATTTACCAAGTGGTTTTCCGAGCAGAATGAACAATACCCAGCAAGCGCAACACAACTCAGATTTCGAATAGCATTCACATCTCACTGACTAATCTGACTACACACATCGCACATATACTACATCATCAATCATCAATTTTCCAAACCAGCATCTCCACCTGCGCGGGATCTGTAGAGTCCTATGCTAGACGCACCAGAACGCGACGCTCCGTACCCGGCCACCAGCGGTTTGGTTTACTCATGAGGATGAATATCCTCGCTCTGCTCGGTGCCTATTCCGACCACCCACATTAGCCATAGTGTCAATACGACAGCAGACAGACAGGCATACCCATCGCCCCCTTCGGATCGTACGGCCGGAACGACTGCGCCCGATCGGGCACCTTATTACTGGTGAAGCCGGTGCGCTCGCTGCCCTGCGGCATGTCGGCGGCCGCGGTCTGGTGGGCCGCGCGCTTGGCAGTCAGCTCCTCCCATCGGCCGTCCGAGCCGAGATCGTCGATCGATTCGACAATGTCCGCGCCGGTGAGGTGGTAGGATCCGGAGAGTTTGCGGGGGTTGGATTCCATATTTCTGAGATTGTGGGCTCGTGGTTGATAGATGATTTTTCAGGATGTATACCAAGGCTGCATTGGATGGGTTGGATAAAGTCGTGCAGAATCTGGGGTTGGGATGGGATTTAAGTAAGGCGGGGAAATCGAAACAATGAAGATGCAGCGGATTGCATGACGTCGTGGTGCGATCAATGCGGTTGACTTAAGAGGCGAACCGTGGGTGGTTGCAGTGAATGCGGAGGCGGGATTGGTGCGGCACGAGGCCAGGTGACACCTTGCAGAAGGACGGGGGGCACATTACCTCAGGGTACGAGCTGTGCCCGAGGTTTGAGCTATTTTCACTGGTCTTGAGTGTGTGAGTGCGATGTCAATTGAGATTGGTCGTGGGGAGGATGTTTAGCAGTCGGTTGGATATTAAGGGTCCAGCCCTGAGAGTGATGCCAAGCATTGCACTTGGACAGGGTTGGGTCTATGCTGAGGGCCAGTGTGTAAGGAAGGTGGTTGTTTGTTGGATGTTCTTTCTCTCTGGCTAGTGAGGTACTTGATTCTTGGGGGAACGACTATTGCAGTGATGCTGACGGCGCAAAGTTTTTCTTCTTCTGACCTATCTGCTATCAATGGATCAATGGATAGAAACCTACTCTGAGAACTGTTACAGCAACATGCTACTGAATATGACAAAGAGCACATTCAAAAATGAAGGAAAGTTCCGACATCTACAAAGGGCTAGCGAAGATCATCGCTTGGGACCTTATGAACAGATCTATAAAAGCAAGACAGGCTGCTTTCTCGCAGAGAAAGCGCCCTCCCATCCTGAAGTTGAAACTTACCATAAACGCATCATAAGCATCCAGACTACAACATGGCAATCCCACTTAAGGTCCTGTCCCCCGACGACAACGTGGTGAAGTGGTTTGAAGAGGAGAGCATTCCGTATGGCTACTTTCACACCCCCGTCGCCGAACTGTATTGGCTGGTGAGCACTAACCGCCATACGAACATGCCCGTCAAGTTTCTCATTTCCGAAGACCTCATCGACCAAGCCTGCGAAGTACTCACTCGCCATGGGCTGGTCGCATGCCCCTACGGAGATGACTGCCAGCTGACCCGCTCACTGGCCCAGATCCCCAGCTCGGCGGATCATTACCATGCGGCTCTGCCAGCCGGTGCGGGCGCTCAAGGCCAGCAACCGAACCCCGATGCGATGGAGGTGGACCAGACACAACTGACCCAGCCACAGGACCCGGATGCAATGAATCTTGATGAGGATATCCCCTCCTTCCCCCCGCCAGGCAGTGCGGGCGCTCCTAACGATGCCTACGGCCTGACGATCCTCCTCTACCCGCAGGAGGACCTCTTCTGGTTCTTCTCCACCCCGCCTCGCCGGACCGAGCTCGAAAACAGCCATTGCTACATTGAATCGCGTGAGCCCATCATCTGCCGGCTCTGGAACTGCCCCGTGGTCACCTACACGCAGCGGACGTGGGCGGAGACGGTGCTGATCAACCTGAGCCGCGACCTGGCGACGCGCGCCGGCGTGCCGCAGGCCTACTGGCACGCCGAGCTGAAGCACATCGCCATGTTCTGGTACAACGACCACCCGTCCGCGTCCCAGAATGGAGACTCCCAGGTCGACCTGCAACCTCGCAACATGATCAAGCCATACAGCACCATCCTGAGCCTGTTCCGCGAGGCCCTGTGGTTCTACGACCAGGACGGATTCTCGGACGCGGTCAAGGCGGAGTTTCGGGAGATGTTCGACGAGCTCGATCTGATGGGACTGTTCCCGCCTGGCCCTGGGTTGCGTGTCGATCCCTGCACCGACCACACCTTTACAGGGCACGGCCCGATTCCTGCGTATTTGGCGCCGTCGGTGGCGGGCATTCGTCGGGACTTCCAGTCGCGACGGGATGGTTCGGGTTGAGCCACCGTCGCCTTCTTTCTGGTGGGTCACCTTTTTTACGGACAATACAATGCAAGTGTAGAATACAAGGAGGCTCATCTCATAGGGGTCGTTCATATATCCGTTCATTCATCCATTTTATCTATAACATACCAACCGCCCAAGCACAACACAAATTCCACCAACCAAGTTCAGCCAACGGTCAACAACCGCTCACAAAACCCCCCAAACCCGCGCTCCTTATCATGCACATGAATCTCCAAGATCCAATGCCTCTCCCACCCCCCCTTTCCCTTCCCCCGCATCCTCTCCCCATTGCCCGGGGTAATATACAGACTGATGCGATCATTCGGGATGCGCTCATGCGGAAAGCTGCCGACGATATGACCCGCGATCTCCGCCCCAAACACCCACCCCCACCCCTCCCGTTCCCCGGCCTCCTTGACCTTCTGCTCTGCGATCGCATACAACTCCGCCCCGGTGATCTCCGGCCGCCGATCGAACTCCTCCTTCACGGCGACCCAGATCCCCTCTAGTGCATCGCGGAGCGCCAGCTTGGCGGGATCATGGCCGAGAACGTAGGTGCGGCCGAAATCCGCCTCCCACTCTTCGAACACCGGGCCTAGGTCGATGACGAGGATGTCGTCGGCGAGAAGGGTCCGGTCCGGCGGGTTGTCGGCGAAGGGGCGCAGGGTGTTGGGCCCGCTGCGCACGAGGCGCTTGTGCCAGTGGGTGCGCACGTTGTGGTGCTCCGCGCCGAGGCGGTGGATGCTGTCGCTCAGGGCCTTTTCGGTGATGCCGGGCACGATGAGGGGTTCGATGGCGGCGAAGAGCGTGAGGGCTTGGTCTTGGGCTTCTTGGAGGGAGGTCGCGCGGTGGGTTTCCTCCGGGGTGGTCATTTTCTTCGTTCGTGTGATTTTGTGGTGATGATTGCCTAAGAGGAGGATTGGTGATTGGGGGCTTTTGGCCTGGTGATGATGGGAGAAATTTGTTTAGGGTGGGGTGTGGGTGTGGGGGTTTTTGTATACGCCGCGCGGTGATGTACGTGCGGTGGGGTAAAGTGGGCGCACGATGGGATGGCGTGCCGTTATCGGATCGCCGGGCTTATCGGGGTTGGTGCTTGGGGTGATTACCACGGCTTTGGCGGCTGGCTTATTGGGCAGTCGGGCCGGCTGCGGTGCGTGGTGTGGGGTTCGTGATATCGAGTTAGACTACAGACTGCGATGTACACAGTAACTTACCTATATTATACGATATGTTATTCCTCCACTCCTTCTGTAACGAGATCGCCGTCTCAAAACGTCCATGAGGTTTGTTTCTATGATGGAAATGAATGCGGCATGAGAGTGGTTGTACACTACGTAGATCCTGAAAGCCTCGGTAGATACAGCGAATGAGGCTAAGCTTTCGGCTGAGAGTCGGACAGGCAATCACACTGACTAGCGTGGCTCCGCGTTTCTGTCAAGTGATCGACAGACTCCCGACAGCTGTCAGCATCGACAAATTGGCATACCATGAAAAACTCCACTGTTTCCTGATGAGAGATTCCAGTTTGGGTCGACGACTGTGTTAGTATATCAGAAAAGGTTGCAAAGTACGGATGGAAGCAGTTATGGTGTTTTCCACTGCCAGCTTGCGATTGATAGGTTCCTAGTACTGAACTATAGACCGCTAACGCTGAATGTGAATAGACGGCTTGTCTTCGTGAGAGGCTCACGATATTGGCTGATCGTCTCGGGAATCAAGTTCTCTGATTGGAACCACCAGCAAACGCGTGTGCATCAGGTACTCGACGATGAGGTTTCAGCTGACAGTATGACTGGAGACCCGTCCGATTTGTTGTCCACTCATTTCAATGATCTTCCGGTAATCACAAATTGGGGAAAAGCCCCGGGGCAAGGATCAATGCTTCGATGGCGATGGCGAATATACCCCCGTCACAGATAGCTGTCGCCGATTGGGACCGACGTAAGCGAGACTGGACCTTTCCAAGCATCGCAATCCAAGTGACAGTCAACAGTGCCAGCTGTTGTGGATTCGTGTGCAGCCTGGCTCCGGGACTTGGTGTCTCTCACGGGTGCCAGGTCCCTGTCGGCGGAGGGAGCCGACCGTATAAAATTCCCATATCGACCACTGCCATCCCATTCTTTGCTTCCCATGGGGACATTGCAGTGATCCTGGTTCCGACAAGCACCACAGCACAAGCATCTGGCGTGGGGTGCTAACTGGAACCCTTAAGCGCAACCGACCCTCCCCTCCTAGTATGCCCGCCCTCACACCATCACAAACCAGCCGCAAGCGCCATTCCAATATCCGAGTACAAACAGGTGGACGATCACTCCGACTCCGATTCCTCCGGCTGCATGACCTTATCGTCGAGTTCCTAGGACCATTAGTACGACAGGTCGACACAAAATTGAAGACATCTCCTACCTTTCCCAGTCGGATTTTGAGATTCTGCAGCTGACTCTCTTTGATCACGAGGTGGCGGTCGTCATCGAGGTCTTCGACGATGTAGTCGTGGCGCTCTTCGTCGTATTTCAGGATGATGGCTTTCACGGACGGGTCGCATTCGATGAGGACTCCTGTGAGGATGGGGTGATTAGCTGGGACGTGAGAGCCAGATACAGAAGAGGTGATAGTCATTACCTCGGACGGCGCGTGGCATGATGGCGGTGTTTGTGTTGAAATTGGATGAAGTTAAAGAAGACTGGTGTTGCACCAAGGGAGAGAGTGGTTGGGGGATGAAACGGAGCGGCGCGACTGAAGATCTCCGCGGGTGTCCTGGTGCCTGGGGCCTTGTGTCCTGAGGCAGCCGTGGCTTATTCACTGCTTGGCGCCGCGTGTCACCGCTTACCGCCTGCTGATTGATCCTGGCAGAATAGCATACACCGCTTTCACGGATCTATGTTTACATTAACAGGGAGTACAATTCCACTCACACATACTCATCACGTATCACTTTCCATCATGCATGATGAAATTTCTGTCTGCAGCAAGAAAGACAACAAACAACTTCAGACATGGTCTCCACTTTCATGAAAAGCAGTTATCTGCAATACAAAGCGGACACCGACACAGTAGCGACATGGCTCGTCGCGACTGCCAAGAGCTGTGGCTTCCCTGTGGATAAACTTGGAGCCACAGCCAATCCAACCTCTACAACCAACAACCCACCCTCGGCTGCAACTCCAGGTCCTTCTAAGCGTCTCGAAGGAAAAGCAAGGAAGTTGGCTCGCGAGGCTGCCACCAAAGCTGCATCCACTGGCTCTCAATCGACAACATCCGAAGCTGCTAAACACATTCTCGCCTTGAAGGATTTCGTCGACCTCGCATATATCGCTGCATCAACCAAGCCGGTGATTCGCGTGCCAGCAAGTTTTGTGACGGTCCTTGACCGAGCCATCTCAGTGCGACGCGAGCATGGCAACAAGGCCCGGGCCAAATTCTCAACAAACCTCGAATCGCGAGAATCCTCCTACCGACACGAGTATTTTATCGGGATTCTGGAACACGTCCGGCAGGCTCTACAGCCTCGAATGTCAGATGAGAATGTAGAAGACCCCTCGATTGACAATGTCACAGACCACAAGGCCAACAACCTGGCGAATCGATTCGAAGGCCTAGAAGTTCATGAGCCGTCCGAGGCGTTCTTGCAAGCCCCGGATGTTGCTATCCCCGCCCCAGCAACCGAAAAGCCAGAGGTCAACTATGAAGCCGAGCGCCTCCACGACTACGAAGAAGTGTTCTTTGCCTTTATCCTGCTGCTTCAGGATCTGCGAAAGATCCGAGCCGTCATCGCACGAACCTGGAAGGGCTACAAACTGCGTACGTTCGATCTGGTGGCGGTGTCCCTCATGACAAATTGTGCCATCGACTTCGCCCAACATTTGGAGGAGGAAATCCAGGCCCTTCTGAATGAACATGGAGGGTCGATCGCACTGTTGATCAGTCTCTCTGAGGGGATCACTGACATGGTCGGCGAGGATCCGATGCACCGGGAGCGGCCCGGAGACCCTTTTAACTTCCGAACCTACAACATTGCCGAGTCACTGTTTATACCCACCTTTGTCTACCTGAATTCTTTCCATCCTCTCGTCGACAAACACAGCTTTCTTCCATGAAAAGAGAGGTCCTTTCCCACCTGCGACAGGGCGAGCGACTGGGCGCGGAAAAGTGCAAGGGACAGATTTGAGGAGGACATGAAGGTCATAAACGAGGTACTCTCCGAATTCGTGTATCTACATCTCCTCCTCCGGCAGCCGGAGCCACACGAGGACGAAGTCACGCGGGGGATACGAAAGATGTTCGACACGCACCAGGTTCCGCTCTGGCTGGCGTTCGCGTGTCAAATCTTTCTTGACATTCACCATTGCCTTGGGGGGGATGTGGAAAGTGGGTTTGCGGATCTCGCCAACACAGCCAAATCTATTCAGAGCTGGCTCGAGCTAAGCCAGGAATTCTTTGCGCACCTCCGCATTGTATCGTGGCCCGAGCAATATGACGCACGGATCAAGCGTTTTCTCGAGTTCATCTCCGCGTGGGTGGATTCCGACTTCACGCAGACCGCAAAGGAGAGGAACCATGTCTGGAGGCCCTCTGAGTGCTTCAAACTTATGAAGTGGCACCCGTTGTTCTGTGGGATTCTGACATACTATATCAAGGCTCGCTTCCAGGACTTCGCCATGGCTTTTCAGGGCACATGGGGGGCGATTATGTACGCGGCCCATCTCTGCAACGCTTTGCGGCAGGAAGGGTTACTGACGAGGCACTGGGCTGACATGGAACTTGCCCTGAGTTGGCATAATGAGATTTTCGTCGGTACCCCGCCTTGTCAGCCTAGCGAGTATTTTAAGCAATACAGTCTCTCCATCGGCCTTTCCGCGGCAGCATTCGCTCGCAACCGGCGTCATAGCGTTAGGCTACCTGGATCAAAGGCCGGGCCAAGGCGCATGCAGCCTGTCGCTCCCGTCTCGCGGATGTTCTTCAGTCGACACTGTGAAGGATTGACGCCGAGCGGATTCACTGAATCCGATCTCGAGACAATTCTCGCGAAGTCGGCTGCATGGAACAATGATCAACAAGTAGATCGATCTGTTTCAAAGCATCGTGCCACTCGCACCGATAGAGGCAAGCCGCCTACCAAGAAGTGCTCCACTTGTCAACTCACCGTCGTCGAATTACTTGAGACCTTGCGAGACACGATTCACAACGAAGCGCCGGAATTCACGTTCGATTATCTGGCCTTACACAGAAACTGCTGGCGGCTACTTCGTATGGTCCGAGACATGTGTGATCCCCATCTGCGCAGGGTACATGGGGCCGACTCCCTCGAGGACGAGACCGAGCTGCCGTTTCTCGTGGGGCATTTTTTCATGGCTGCTGGGGGGACACATCAGCTGAACAAGATTCCTGGCCGAGAAGGACGAGGTACTCAGCGGTGAGATGATGACGTGCGCCGCAAGTGTGGTTGAGAGCATGATCGAGTCAGAGGCTGGATCTCTGGCTGTGAAGCTTCTGGGCCAACAAGGCTACCAGATCGAGTTTGAGGAGAAGGAATAGATACTCAAGCATGCTCTGGGGCTCAGATTTCTTTTCTTGCCAACCTAGGAGGTGACAGTCTCAGGGACCTTTGGTATCTCTAGCAATGTTGGTGGCTTGGACGCGATCGGAAGTCCGATGGGTGTCGTCTAAGCGAGCCGACGGGCGAGGTTGCTTTATCGGGCCTGCACTAATGTCTGACAGCATAAGATGACGCGTAACATGCTTGCGATGTTTGCTTTTTGTCAGCTACATCGAACTGCCCATTGGTGATCTTATGATCGGTTCAAGGCCGAGAACCCCAAAAGACCCAGATAGAGGATGGATCATATGAGGAATGAATTTGATCTTTAGGTGTCTCTAATTTCATGTGGAGGCGAACTAGTTTTATCTCCGAGGCCCGCTCGGTTTTAGACCTCGCCTAAGAGCTGCCAAGTAGATTTCTCTCTGGAGAGATCTCTTGTTTGCTTTAAGCTCCGAGAAGGACGCCACTAATGTGACCAACGCACACTCATGCCGCATCGGGGATGTGACCCACCAGTAGGACCCATGACAGTAACATAGGTTGTTGGACGGAAGAAGATATACCCCCTCCACAGTCAGACTCTCATACCCCTGGATTGGAATCTTATATCTGCTGATCAGTCCGACTTGTGGGTCGGATGTAGATGCAGTCCTTGGAAGCATCCATCTTTTGCCACCTCTACAGCAGCCATGCTATCCCTTCCAGCAATCGCATTTCTAGCTGCAATCCTCACCAAAGTTGCAGTGGCTGCCCCACTGATGGACACTCTGCTCGAGATTCCCGAGCTCTCCACGTACGCGCATGTGTACAATATGACGGGGGGCATCGTGGAGATCAACCCGATGTTCACGAAGCGGTTCAACTATGACACCGACACGCGCAACTACACTTTCCTGGCTCCGACTAACGCTGTACCTTCCTCCCCTCCCCTCTCCAGCCTCTCACATGCTATCAATCTAACCCAATGTCATGGTACTCACAGGCATGGGCCAAGATCCCCTCAGCGATCTACGACATCCTCCTAACCCAACCAGCGTACCCCCTCATCGAAGCCCTCCTGCGCACGCACATCATCGAAGCCCGCCTAACCGCCGCCGAACTCGCCAGTGTATCCGCCGACAGCGCCGTGGGAGGCATCGCGACCGCCCTACAACTCTCCAACACCACCGCCCAATTCCACCGGGGGGTGCTCACCAAAACAGTGCAGGGGTACTACATCGACGCGACCACCTCCGCAAACGGGACCGTGCGCATCGACGACCAAGCCGCGATCGTCAAAGCCGACCTCCCGGCGGACAATGGGCTGATCCACGAGATCGACCAGCTCGTCGACCCGTTCCTGGTCTACGGCGGGGGGCCGAGCAACCGCACCACGGCGCCGTCGTACGAATCCACCGATCTGACCATCGGGGCGTTCGTGCAATCCGACGCCCGTCTGGTTAACGCTTCGCAGATCCTGTCGGTCAACTCCCCGGACACGATCCGTCGCCTGTCGCGCCAGTCGTCCGAGAAACAGTTCTTCGTGGTCCCGCGCAATGAGGCGTTTGAGTTGATGCCCACCATCCTTCCTGTGTTTCGTAAGTTTACTTTCCTGGATGCTGCGATGGATGCTGCAATGAATACTCCGATGAGTGCTGATAATGGTGGTGGTAAAGATACGCTGGTCTCGCCGTATAAAAGCCCCTTCGACACGCTGCTGTGGCAGTACGGCTGGGTCGATAGCGGCGGCGAGCAGTTCGACAGTCGCACGCTCAAGGGCAAGAGCTCGCTGTCGGTGGCCAGCGATGTGACGGGGCTGAATATCACGGTGACCCGCGAGGAGGAGGACGCGGCTGTCTTCGTGATGAATGCCGGGCTGGTGACGCAAGTGAAGGCCGCGAATGGGTTTCTGTGGATCGTGGATCGGTGGCTAGATCCTTTGTACCAGGCCTTCGGGCCGGTGGATCGCTTTGGGGAGCCGGAGTGGGCGTAGCTACGAGATACTGTACGGTGCAGTCTGGGCTGACGGGGTGGGAGTGTTTCTAGCATGGTTTGGGGTCGTGCAGGGCCAGATATTAATCTTATTGTTATTATTGTGTGACATATGAATCTTAACCTCGACAGCGAAACTAGTCTCGACAGCAGTAGCAGTAGACGCCGTCGCTGCAGCATTGGGGGTATCGCCCGTGGCAGCAGACGGCTGAGGAGCAGGGCGAGGAGCATACGTAGCAGGCTGGGGCCAGTGGTCAGTGGGATCTGCGACTGCGTGGATAAAGGGGTCTGAACGAGACGTACAATCTTCCAGGCCTCCGATAGGGGTCTTGTCTGCGTCAAAAGCATTGAGGTGCTTGTCTTCGGGTCTTTGCATGAGGGCTGCATTGTGAGCAGATGCCGCTCGTCAGAAAAAGGGCGCTTACTGGTTCTGCTAAAGGCGTTCGCAGTGGCAGTTGAGAATATACAACCCACCAACGATAAGGAAATGAGAATCGTCTTCATGTTGATGATCATGTCAGAGCTACGGGACATGTGTGAGCTTCTTCAGTCTTTCTCTAGTACTAATCCCAGCCTTTTAATACCTAGGATGTCCTGGTCATGTGCGGTGATGCATCCCAGAGCAAGTCATCTGCCGGGAAGCCGCCCTTCTGACCCTTCCACCACCTTATCAGACTCGACTGACCTGCCTACAACTGCTTCCTCGCGTACGAGATCACTGGGCTGCAGGGTCTTTATCAACCCGATCTACACAACCCCAGAAGTCGGCTCGATCACGCTCTGTTACTAGTGTAGTCACCGGTTGCACAAAAGTACCTTCGCCGCAGCGCCAAGGCTCTCCACCACTGCCATGCACCAGGGTCCAGCCAGACCTGATCGGACATCAGACATATCAAATGACAAAACGCTGACATCATTGGTGATAACTTATTGAGTACCAGCATGATTTCACGCACGCTGACTCGCCATCTCTCCCGGCAAGGTTCTGAGCTGTCAGAATGATGGCAGATAAGCGGATGCGTCGGATCTGCTATCTCCTCCAACGCCCTCTGCCAATTCTCGGCCTGGGCCGACCCCAGGGACACATGTCCGAGCGACTCGGGGCGTTTGCCATTGGACGGCGATCACTTATCGGTGCCAGGATATGGCGACGCGCTCTGCCTGTTTCTGCTGGGCGAATTAACCATGCTTATTCGTTACACGCAGTACAGACCCCATCCGTCCATCCCGCATTTTTCTCCGCAGATCACATCATAGATGCCCCTCGCCGTTAAAATGTCCCGGAGGCGCAATCCGCTCATGGACCGATATTTTCGTCCACAAGAATCACAATGACCGCCGCTACTCAACAGAAACCCGTACCGTCAGAACAGACGCCCCTTCTGGGCCGTTTGGAAGATGTGCCCGATGCGCCCCGCGTCCCAGTGACTGTCTTCCAGGGCTCGGCGATTATGGTGGCCATGGGTCTGCTGTTGTTTATTCAAGGTACAGTACACACTCGTTTGTCAGGGAATACACAGAGGCTGACCGAGCAGCCACCCAAATCACCGCGATGACCACCGCTCAATCGGCCATTGCCACCGAGTTCGACGCCTTTTCCGTGGCCACATGGTTCAGCTCCGTGTTTCTGGTATTTATTCATGTCTAGCTGTGCAACTACAGGTCAATGCGGAGCTGACCAACCAGATCGCCTACTCGAGCATCACGCCGCTCTCCGGCCGACTGTGTCAAATTTTCACGCCCCGCGTCTACGTCTTCTTCACCTCGAGCCTGCTGGCGTTGGGTCTGTTCGTCACCGCCGCGGCCCCGAATCTGAGCGTGTTTCTGGTCGGACGAGCCATCGCGGGCTGTGGCGCGGGCGGCCAGAGCGTGACGGCCTTGGTGCTGACGCTGGACCTGACGAGCAAGAAGCGCAGGGGCCTGTTCCTGGGCCTGATCAGCGCGGCCATGACGACGGGGATCGCGTCCGGGGCCGTTCTCTCGGGCCTACTGACCACGGTCTACGGATGGGTGGGTATGCGTTCGTGGCGAAGCTGTTCCTGCTACTAACCGCAACGCAGCGTCTCATCTTCTGGATCCAAGCCCCGATCACCCTCCTCCTCGCCCCGATCATGTTCTTCGCCATCCCCGTCCCACCCGCGGCCGCGCAGGATGAGCAGGACGGGCGCACACTACTGCGCAAGCTCGCCCAGGTCGACTACGCGGGCGCGTTGACCCTAGTAAGTCCAACCCTGCCATCCCCATCCTCAACGCAATCCTCACAAAGGCAGACCCTCTCCGTGACCCTCCTCCTCGCCAGCCTCGCCTCCTCAACCATTCAAATCACCCCGATCCTCGCCTTCCTGGTCTCGACCGCCCTCTTCCTAGCCATCGAATCCCACTACGCCACGCAACCCATCATCCCGCTGCACCTCATCCGCCAGCGCAGCGTGCTCCTCACCTGCCTCGCCGGCCTCCTAACGATGATGGCCCGCTGGGCCGTCCTCTTCTACAGCCCGGTCTACGCAATGGTCGTGCGCGACTGGACCCCGGCCTCCGCAGGACTAATCCTGGTCCCCACGAACGCGGGGTTCGGCCTAGGCGGCGTGCTGGCGGGGTGGCTACACATCCGCCAATCGCAGAGCTACTACCTCTCCAGCCTGCTGGGCTACAGCCTCTTCGCGCTGGCCGCGCTCCTCCTCGCCCTCCTCGCGACCCCGACCGCCCCGGTCCCAGGCTTTGTGGCGGCCACCTTCCTCCACGGACTCGCGGTGGGCGCCCTCCTGAACTACACCCTCTCGCATCTGCTGCATCTCACCGTGCCGGAGGTGCATTACCTGGTCGGGGCGTTGGTGGGCATGAGCCGCGGCTTTGCGGGGAGTTTTGGCTCCGCCATCGGTGGGGGGTTCTTTGTCAGGGAGTTGAGGCGCGGGTTGGTGGAGGGGTTCAAGGAGTACGGGGTCGGCGGGGACAGGGAGAAGGAGTTGGTCCGGCAGTTGGTGGGCAGTCCGGCGTTGGTGAAGGGGTTGAGTGGCGTGGAGAGGGCGGTCGCCGTGGGGAGCTATCAGGCTGCGTTGCAGCGGTTGTTCTTGGGGAGTTGTGCCTTGATTCTTGTTGCTGCGGTCGCGCAGGCGGGGACCGGGTGGAGGGGGTATGGGACCGGGTGGAAGGCCGTGGATGACGAGGAGGGCAATCAGGAGCGGGTGTAGGTGTGCGGCGCTTACTCGGCTTATGGGCGGCTGGTAAGCGTTCCGGGGGAGAACCCCCGGACCCCCCTTTCTTTTCAGCATCCCAGTGTCACTCAACCTCAGTCCTTATGGGGGTAGAGGGCGTGGATTTTGAGATTGTGCTGGACTGGGGCTGCGGTACTGGGAAGCTGAAAAGAAGGGGGTCCGGGGGTTCTCCCCCGGAACGGTATGTTCCCCCAAGCACTCAGGATTGGAGTTGATGAGAAGTTGCCTCGGAAATCGCGGGGCGAACGACGACTTCTTGCGCCTCTGATGCATAATCGTAATACCTTGGAAGGCGGGGTAGTATATAAAGAATCTTAATAGTAAATCCTTCTTAGATGAGGAATTTGGACAACCCTCAGAGCCCTGACGGTAAAAAGCTTTTCAGAGTTATCCTGCAATATGACCCTATCGATATGATATCGAAGCAGCATTTACACTGGCGTCAGGCGCGAACCATTCTGTGACATCCTGTTTTCTCGTTTTGATGGACACAACCAAGAGCCCTGTTTTTGAATTCAGACAGATGACTTTTTCACACAAGTAATACGCCTCTCTTTCTCCAGCGCCTGTCATAGAGTCCACAGCCTCAACCCTGAATATTCCTGTTCGGACAAATCATATATGCTTGTGCAAAGACGGAAAATATTTAACTCAGCAAGAAACAATATCTTATACTAGTGCTACTCAGCGCTGCAAAATTGACGACTACGCTTCTTTATCTGTAGTTGATGACGGTCTTGCAATCTATCAACAATTTAAGGTCTCAGGGGTGAGGTGTATGGAACGTGATCTCAATTCTCTTGGTGGTTGGTGGTTGGAACTAACGTATCAACATGGGAAGCAACTTGGCAACGCGGTGCGTCACGTGGCCGGATTACTCAGTTATGCTGACACAATCTTGTTAATCAGGCTGCGGTAGGAAAGTTACACTCAACTAGCCTGTTGGATCAAAATGTGTTAGGTACTCACTCGCATCCTCAAACAGTAATACCCGATCGCCGTTGACGAATTCTAAATTTCACTGGTTACCATGCCTAGCTCAGAATAAGGCAGGAGAAGCCTGAAGCCGTCCACCTGCCAAGAAGCAAAAATAAATTAAACGCGAATGCTAGCGATGACAGGCACAGTTGAGACAATAACAAAGCATAAATTCCAAGCGCGAAATATTCCGAAGATCAAACTACCCAAACCAGATCACAATCAAGAGATCCCACTGCAGCCGACTGATGCAACCAAAGCTTCGGCTTTCTGCTTACCGGTGGTGCTTCCATCAGGCACATCTGACATAACAAATTCCCAGTGCCAGTCCTCGTTCCTCAATCAATCCATGACCCACGTACGCGATACGGACACACCGGAAGACCTTGCTCAGCCGTAAAGGCTTTTGGTCCCCTCACCTTTTGACTTGGGATGGACCATTGCACCGGATCTTCCGCGACTGGTGCTCCCGATACTTTCATCACAGTCGTAGAAACTCCTGCATCTCGATAGCCTCAATCCACTGTCGCTCCAGCTCGCGACGGCGACATGCCTCCTCCAACCCCCTCAGCATTCCCCGACTCAAATCTAGAGACTTCAAGCCTCTCTTTACCTCGGTCAGACAGCGCCTGATCAGCCGCTCTGCCTTCTCCTCGGATAAGGGCTTGGGAACGTAACAGCTTTTATAAGCACATCCTAAAGCCACGCCAGAGTTTTCTCTCCAAAGCTGCACACGGCGCGGACCACGACATGTCCGGCAAGGCGTGATACAGTCCCATACCCCAATTGGGTCGAGCCAAACGTACTTGTCACAGCATGTCAGATACTTACGACCTGCGTTGCCCAAATCGTTTCCTTTACCCACTGTCCGGGGCAGCAAGACACTCTTGCACGTCTGACAGCGAAAGCCCTGCCGACCCAGGTACTTAAAACACATATTGCAGTCCCTGTTCGCTATAGATTGGCAGTAATGAAAGAAAAGACGCCCAGGGCGAATGACCGGGCAATTGTTGGGGAAATTGGAAAGTGAAGGTTTTTTGATCCAAGGAAGGCAAAACAGACCACTTAAATAGGTTTACTCGTGCTCAGAACAGCCTTGTTATGTTGGTGGCGGGGGTATGACTCAGAGTACTGTGAGATGCAGATGATTGCTGCCCAACCACCGGCACGCGCAAAGGTCAGTTGATTGGGGTTAACGGACGCCTGTTGGCCAATTGTGATAGAAGCCAGCCAGCCCGCCAGCGATTTTGCGTACCCAAGGCATGGAAGCCACCAGAAAGAGTCGGGATCTCTCAGCACGGAACCGGGCAGGTCCGTTCGTTGGGCGCCCAAATGGGAATTCCATATGCATGGGTGTCGTATCTCGAGGTTTTCCTCCCCCCTTCCTTCGGTAACGTCGAAGTCAGGTGGATGTGTTTCGGACGATTCGCCGGCAAGACCAGGATTTCGCGTCGCTTTGATCAAAATTATTGGAAACATGGTCTCTGGGAGGTTCAAATGAATAACTATCTACTGTCAAATGTCTGTTCGTGAGCAGGGACATTCTTGTACAGACGCCAGGCTTTGTTGCTGACTGTCTTCTCCTCGTTGGTGGGGAGGCGACACCTCTTCATGAAAAACAGTTGTCAGCAAGCCACGGTTTGCTTTCCAACCTGACTCACTCCCCTGCGAGTATTCGGCCCATGCTTACTTTTATCTCGCAAGTACCCTCTTTTACCAAGGGCTTACTCTGTTAACGCTCGACGAAGTCGTAGGGACTCCCTTTCATACAAAACGCCACTCGCACTGGAGATAGGACCAAGTTGCTTCTTAGTCCAGAGCGGAAAGTAGGAATAACAGTGTATGTTCTCGCTGGTTCAGGCCTCTTGGCTGCAAATTGACGAATTTATTCCAGGAAAATCCTTCTAGGCACGTTCCAACGTTATTACTCTTCACTACATTTCTCTCGTGCATGGAATCGAAGTCAGTGCAAGATTTCGGGCCCGTTGTTACCAAATTCGATAGATGATATGATCGAATGCGGACCCTGGTGGTTCCACCAGCTGCATGACAATACTTGTCAAATGCGAAGCAGTGGTTCCAGACATTGCTCGATACCAGAGCTCTCCTGTACTAATACTCTCACCGCATCCCTCCATGTTGGCTGCTTTCAATCCAGAGTGACCATTTCTCGATAACATCAATTGCCTTGTGAGGGGTGTCATGAAACCATTCCTGATGCGGATGGTATGCCTCGCAGTCAACCCTCATCCTCTTCAACTTAAGACCCGCGTGACACAGAATCTCGATCGACTCGGGACTCCGGATCAGTTTCTCTGAGTCGTGACGACGAGAGTAAACTCCCCTGACCTGGCGGTCACAGCTTTCGTGGTGTAGCCAATTTTGACGTAGCCGTCATTTTCCTCGACCTCATAGATATAAACATATCCATCCCCCCATACTTCCTCGTGGATTTTGAGATCTGTGTCAGGCAGGACATGGATGACCAATCTTTCTCGTCCCAGCCTTCGGAAAGAGAGAACGCGAAACGGAGTGTCGCGCGGGACTACTTGGCATTAGCAGATGTCGATACATAATAATTTCATACACAGCGGCAACACGGACCTGTCCATTGTTTCGCTTTCGAAAATCGCTTCCAGCGGTGCCAGCTTGACCTTGAGTGCTTGTATTAGCTTCATCACTCGTGTCTGCTGATGGCAGTCTTGATTCTAATGGCCTCCGCACGGGATGGAGAAACTATGGGGTTGTGAGGGGTCTGATTGCCGGATGACAAGTTCTGTGTCGGCTTGTGCTCTTGCAAGACCTTTCTCGTGGTTCTGAGGCCACTGTAGTCCCTTGAGATCACATCGACCAGCGCACGAATGGCCTAACGAGCTTTTTTGGAGTTTGCCTGAGGCGATACTCAGACTCCTGCATTGTTCAACAGGATGTGCAGAGATGACCTGGCATGTCATAGATCTTGATAAGCTTCAGCCCTGGCACAAGGTGTCACGTAGCATGCGTCAGTTTATGGGACGAACCTGCAGACAAAGTTTCTTTCTTTCTACTCCACCGAAGGCATGTGTAATACAGAAACAGTCTTTGCTTGATTTATACGAGACCTCCAAGACTAAACAAGCAAGATGACGGTGGCCCGGCTGTCTCTCAGATGCTTGAATCTCATCATCGCCATGGAGGTTATCACAAGACATATAATGAGATATCCGCAATGGTCCGATCAGATATTATCATATATCTCCATTAATAATCCCTCAGTGTCCCTGAGATTCAACTCCTTTTCCAAGGCTTGTCTCCAGTTCGATTTAGACTTGGTTCGATCCATCCAACCTGACCACTTCTGAAGGGTGACAATCGCAGACTCGGGCGAGACATTAAACCATTCTTCATGCTTGCGCAAGCATGCCTCACAGTCTACCTTGGTCTGAAATCTGCTCAGCTCGGCATGGCATAATGCCTCGACGAGCAAAGGATGGTCGACTTCTCTGTCGGGGCTCTCGGAAAGAGGAAAGAGTTTCTTCGGCAGTCGATTGCAGACCAAGGCGTGCTGATCGAGCCTTACTTGGACCGTGTTCTTGCTGTAACCTATCTTAACCAAGCCAGCATTCCCCTCGACTTCATATGCGTAGACATGGCCCTTCGCGGGCCCTGATTTTGGCTTCAACGCGTTCTTTATATTCTGAATCCCTTTCGACTTCCCAGGAGGCTCATGTATAAATGGAGAGATTTCATAGCCTGGGCCGAAACGGGTTAGTGATAGGAGTTCTGTATGTGCAGTGGGGCAGATGATGTTTGATGTTACCTGTCAAGTCGCACCGCCTGTGCTCTAGTCTTTTGATGGCCGCGATGTCCGCTCGAAAGTCCTTTGCGGGATGGACTGCCGGGTTCGACTCAATGGAGGGGCAAATGACTCGGATTTCCGAAAACCACTCCGCGACGCGGCCCGGCGCCTCTTCCTCTCTGTGCAAGCCACAGAACATGCTCTCCCCGAGTACCTCCAGGTATGCGCGGAGCTGGAAATCGTCCCGAAAGATGTCCGGTTCAGTGACTCGCTTCAAGATCTCGCGTGTGATGTGCACGTTCCGACCTCCGACCATGCTTGTGGTATCATACGGCGAGTGGCCATTTGAAAGACACGTGGCGCGAAGCTCGGGGACAATGCTCTGAATGACCTTGGCCACCAACCAGCTCGGTGTATCAATGCTGGGCGCTGTAAAAAGCAGACGTGATACCTTGTCCAGGGTAGAGCGGGGCCTCCCCTTATGAATATGGCAGAGAGCTAGGGTTACCAAGTCATTCAAGGTCTGTTCCGAGAGACCACCCTTGAGATTATCTGATATCCGGGCAAGGATTTCATCAAATTGGGAGATATTCCTGGCGGGTAAGGTGATCTTGCAGGCGGTTTTGGTCGATTCTGCTACGGCAGCGCATTCTTTTCGGTGAACAGGTAGGCACTTCTTCAAGGTTTCGATTGCTGAAAAGGTAGCGCGGCGTGCCTCTTGTTCTCCGGTGTGGCGTCGGTCTGGTGGCGTGTGAGGACTTGTTGGAGGAGTTCTGGGCTCGAGATCGCGCCGAACTCGCGAAGCACGACTCTGTTGAGGCGTTTGTAAGCCGTTATCACGGACGGTCTTGGACTTGAATGGCGAAGAAGGCGGAGTGATGGGGAGAGCAGGGCCTGGTACTGGGCTTGAGGGTCGTGGTATCTGGTTTGTTTTGTCATGCATCTTTTCCGTTTGTCGCGGATATGCTTTACTCAGCGCGAGGCGCCTTTTCTCTTATTAGAGCTACTGTGGACGCAACAGAGCGGGCAAAGCTGCGCTTTGTGCTTGCGAGGGAATTTTTACGGATGATTTTCCGGCTTTAAAGGTGCGCTGATACCAGCTGTGCTTTCCTCTTGATTGTACTCTCCAAGCCACCAGCCGCTAGCCAGGGTTCCAGGCCAGGCGACTGAATACATGTCTGCCTGGAATGTTTGCTCAAAGTACCAATTACTTCAATGATATCGCCGGATCACGGCGGAATGTCCATGCCGCTGCTGGAAATACAGCCTTGATCCTGGAAATCAGGGTATCAAATTGGAGGAGAAGGGCTGTGTCGTAAGTCCGTCGAACTTTAATTCAGCTCCTCCTACTAAGCCAAGCCAAGTGTCCTGATGTGTCTTATTTGCTTTTTCTTCTCAAGAGAACTACTGCACGATGCTGATTCTGGGAAAAGGGCAAGATCAAGGTGGATGTGAAAAGACGCGTGGGAGGTGCAGGTGAACATTAATTGTGATGAGGTTGGACTGATAATCGAATTGATATCTGTGGAAAGATTAAAGGCAAAGGTACTCAAGACACTAACTAGAGTAGGCGATGGGTTTTGGTCAAAGCCTACTAAGAGTCCATGGAAGCCTTATTATTCTCCTCATTTAATCTTTGGCGGGGAATGTGTGCAGTCGCTACTTTTTTTTTCTGCCTGTGTTCTCGTTCTGTCACGTAAATAATCATGATGATGGATGATACTATTGATAAGCGGGGAAGTGGGAGGGGCGATTCTACTTATGTTTGCTCTTACTGGGCCGGTCCAATCGCATCCGTTGTTCTGATAACAACCATCGAACTGCGCACTTACAGGCTCGCAACCCGTCAAAAATGATAACCTTGGCTTGAAGTAGGAAAGAGTAATATACAACCCAGTGGGCTACCTAGGATGGATACAGTGATAGATTGATCCGATTACTCTATGAGCCAGTTTGGTTAAGTAAAATATAACGAGATAACCCATTATGACACTAGGTATTCACCGATTTAGGTGGTCTGTAGGTCATATGACCGGATACATTTAGAAGCGGGGAAAGTAAAGGATATATCAGGCTAAAGGATCCCTTCGGATAAAGAGAGTACAAATACCTTGAATGACTAGAATGGAGAAAGGCTGAGACAGATCATATATGAGTATCGAGCAAGTTGAAAGAAGACCTGGTTCGTTTGAGTTGATGGTGCATCGGTGAGCATATCGCTCGTGGGGTACGTACTCCAAAGCAGACTTTGGACAGCTTCTTTAAGTATGAAATAGTTCTTGGCAAAAGGAAGGTGGGTCAGTACGGTAGTTGTTATCTCAAGCCGATCAGGGCACCGCTCGACCAGCTGAAAAACCGCACGCTCACGCTCTCGGAGCTCCGGCCTACCGGTGACGAGATCGCAGCCGCGCTGACGGAGCGGCATGGAACCCGCACGCTGAGCGCGGCGGAGACGATCGAGGCGGTCGACGCGCAGATCGAGGGGTTTCTGCAGGCGGGGAAGCCGTTTGGGTTGGCGTTCTACTGTCGGAGGATCTGGGGAGTGGGGATGCCGGTTGGGATGTTGACGGAGGACGTTTGGGAGGTGCCGGGGTATGTGAAGGCTGGTTTGAGGAAGTTGGTTGTTGGCGGTGGGTTGGGTGCATATCGGACGTTGCCACAGGAGGTTTGGGTTTTTTTGAGGAGGGGTTTGCGGCTTGTGCTTGACGGGTTTGATGCAAGAAGACCCCCATTGTATATATTCCAGTATGTGCAATGCACAGATTAAGAATTGGTCTATCACAAGCCAATGGGCTGTTGCACATGTCAGCTTCATTGCGGAGAGTGTGGTGTTACACATCTTGACCGTTGCCATATGATCTGCACACTTTTGGACTCCTGTCATCCCCCCCGCTGCTGAAGATGAGTCCTCGTGCCGGTCTAGGCGTGGTATATGCATCCTCTCCGCCTACACCGCAATCCTGCGGGGCGAGACCATCGAACCAATCGTGGAAGAACCGCGACCGAACAAGATCGTATTCAAGCCACTCGAGGAGACGAGCAGTGCGCTCTACGCGAATGAACCGCTCGGGAGCCGGCTGCACGAGTCGACAACCCAGCACTGGGCCTCTGGATGGCTGGGCAATATCATCTTTGCCCTCTGGCACTGGCGGGTCCGCGCCACCTTTGCATACAAGCCTCGTGCGCGTCGCACGATGCACATCCCCGGTGCGGCGGTCGATCGCCTCCACGATCGTGCAGCCCAGCAGGGGCTCGCGGTGACGCGACACGACCTCGTCATGGCCATCATAGCTCAGGTGCGAAGCTGCCCCCTTCCCTCCACAGAGCGAGCAACTTCTGACACGATGGTTTTATTCAAAATACCCAGGCCGCTCTGCAAGCATACCCCCACCTGCACCCGGCAGCGATCGCATTCGTCTACAACTTCCGCAGACACCTCGACCAACCCGTGCAACTCCAAAATACCTCATGGCTAGTCTCGATCCCTCTGCCGACGCGGCCAAACAAGCCCATCATGCTTGACGATAGCGATGACGACGAGGAGGAGGATGATGAAGACGATCGACTCCTGATGCTAGCATCCTGCGTCTGCGACGCCGTCAGAACAGTCCGCACCCCGGAGTGCCTGGAGCTCTGCCGTCAAGCTCACACAGCCATGGGACCGTGGCGGCCCTTCGGGCCGGCCCTGCGGCACCCGAACCACCCGAACACTCTCGTCTCGTCGTCTTCCCAGCTACCGTGGTACAGTCTCTGCTTCGGCGGCGGGCCCGGACCAGGCCGTATTACGCGAGCATGGCTGTCGGCTTGATCGATCTCTGGGGGTTTATAGGGCTGAGTGTCCATGACTGGATCCTGATGAGTAAGGATCGCGAGGACCGCGGGTATTTTCTGTATGGGTCGTTGCATGTGGAGCATTGGGCGCAGTTGAGGCGGGGTTGTGCGCGGTTGGTGGGTGGGTGAGGAGGGCTGGGTTTGATTGCGTTTGACTTGGGTGGTGATGACCTACTTCCTGATGTTGATGATATTTATGATGGTCTTGAGTTATCCCTGGGGTTATGGATGGTAATAATAATGAGACCCTGGTTATACAATTGAAGAGTCTTGTCGGTGAAATAATAGGGTTCTTGATCTGAACATCCTTTGGGTATGTCCAGTACATGTAGTTTGATTTGCAGGAATGACCTGTCAGTATAGGAATTGCCGATTCTCGGACCACATGATAGCAAGTTGATGGACCAAGTCATCTCAAGTGAGGCTTTGAGTCAGTAGTGGACAGGATCTCGCGTAGAGCAAACCGGGAAAGTCTCCTGTCAAACAAATGACGAACAATGAAGATGAAACCATGTAAATTTCGTTGTTCGACTATACACTCGCTACCATTCCTGACGTCTAGAACTGCGAATAAAGAACATCAGATGGCCGGTCAAACTGCCTCGCACAAGGTGATGATGTCGTCAGGGATGAACGGCCTCAAAATTTCAATCAAAGAGGCCAACGGGATCCAGTCCAGCGTGCCGTGGATGGTCTCGATAGCCCGCCCACTGTACAAGACGCGGGCGTAATGCTCCGAGTTGGCCGTCTCCCTATTCTAATGGTTAGCATTCGCTGCAGCCCCGGGTATCCAAGCTAAGCTAGTTTGTGAATCATGCTCTAACGTACCAGATCTCAATGGCGATGTTCGATCCCATCCCCGGCCAGCGCAGCGCTCGGATCCCCAAAGCACCCAGCACCGGCCCCAAGTCCCCGTCATGCACGAAATTGTGGCTGTAGACCAGAGCCGAGCTGCCCTGGGCCACCGCTTCCAGGTGCTGCACAATCTCGCCAATGAACAGCCCCTCGACAAGCTGAATGTACCGCGTGGCGTTGGCATTATGTCTCCACCAGTAGTTCCACTCCCAGTCACCGGCCCGAAAAACCTCGTCCGCCTGCTGTTGGGTCACGCATTGGGACTCATCCTGAAGGCTACATGGTAGTTGGTAGCCGTTGCACAGTCGGCCTTGGAAGTTGTCGGCAAAGTGATCGAAGGTGGAGGTCCAGCTCGAAGTGTTGGCATCGAACATGTCGGCTAGCTTGGTGCGAAGCGACGCCGTGACCGACAGATGCTCTTCCCAAACGGGGGTCGACTCAATGGCGGACAGCAGATCGCTCCGCGCGGAACAAGAAAACCCCTGGTCGACAGTGTCGATGCTGGATGCCTGCTGGTGCAGCGGCAAGGACCCATGGTAATCCGGCCATATCCCTCTCAGCACCCCGCCCGCAGATTCCTGCGTCAGGGCGGAGCTACTGCTGCGGAGCCACACCTTTCTGCCATTATCCTCGTTTGGGGCCGACGGGATGAGCTGCAATCGCTCCAGGTACACTTCCCGAAGATCGCGACCGTGTTGGTAACCGTCCAAGAAGCCTCCGACCGTGAGTTGTGGATATTGGCAGGATCCATTGACGTAGCTGTCCAAGAACGGGTTCGTCGGATCGGAGTATGACCGCGCGTATACGGGGAGTGGAGAGGGGTTTCCAGACGTCGGCGCAAGGTAGAGGAAGGGCTGCACGTTGTTGCAGTTGTATGCTTGGTTCTACACCGAGTCAGTCAACTACTGCACCTAGAAGTATCAAGGTGGAGCCACCGACCTCGCCGCCCGGAAGAATATTGTAGGGAGTCCGGCGTTGGTGTCGCTGCAAGTATTCGAGGTAGACCAAGCGACCAGACACGGACCCATTGGCGATGGGAGGTGGTAAAGTGTAGGTATCGGCGTGGGGGTGAGGCATTGAGCAATAATTGTAGACCTCCTCAGCAGACGGCGGACTGGCCTGATCGGCGGGCGCGGAGTAGATACCCCCATAGGTTCCCAGCGAGGTATTGGTTATGAAGGTGGTGTGATTGAGTGGTGGATAGAAAGTGTCGCGCGCGGCGACCGAGGAGGTCAAGAGGGTAAACAGAAGGGAGATCATGTCGCTGAGTCCTTCATAAATGCTGATAGACATGGCCGCGCCGTCGATACGGGCGCAAATGGTAGCTTTTTATAGCACGTCCACCAGAGTCCCTCAGAGCCCTTCACCAGGCGGCTGTTGGCGAGGGAATTCACCAAGGGGTCGGATTCTGAGGGTGGAGGTTGCGCGCGTTGCGGGGATCGATAGTGAGCTGCCACTCCCAAACCGCGATTCCCCACGTGGGCATGGCGGTAGCCGAGGAGATGGAGATCGGATTCCGCACGTCCATGATGTAAGTTATCAGATAGGCTAGGTCTTGGAAATGAATATCATCGGCTGTTAGCGATGAACGCTAGTTTACCCACGGACCATGCATGGGGTGATGAATGGAAGAGGGTAGAAGAGAGAGGGAAGGGAGAAGGAAAAAGAGGGGAGAGGGAGAGGGAGAGGGAGAGGGAAAGGGAAAGGGAAAGGGAAAGGGAAGGGAAAAGGGAAGTGGAACTGAGCACTGTCACTGCGGGCGCCGGGCACAGTTGGCGGGTGAAGGTGAGGAACGGGCCGGACGATTCCAACTCCAGTCCGAACACTCCGTAACGTTACTTACTGGCTGACTGACTGACTGACTGACTGACTGCACTGCACGCGCAACTCTAGTTAACCTACAACGAACCCCGCCCCAATCTGCCTCGATCTGGTATGGTACGGTATGGTGGGTAGTCACGTGGTGCAAGATAAGCAAAGGAAAAAAGAAAGCAACGAACGATGGCAGGCCTTCTTAGATGCTTGAAGGGATTGATTGACGGACTGACGGACTGACGGACTGATGGACTTTGTTCACAGCCTCCCTTACCAACAAATCATGGATGGGAGCCATCTATCCCCTCCACCTGCTTCATCCTCTGCGACTCCGGCTACTCAGCCTCAGCAGACCATCGGCCAAAGGCCACCTCCTCCCTACTATCTGCCTCTCTATCCCCATCAGCAACAACCGCCACCCTTCCTCTTAGTGGATCATGTAGACAAACCGCAACTTCTTCCCCAGGGTCAGGAGCAACCCGTCTTCATCAAAAACGAAGATTCTCAGTCCCCATCCGAGGAATCCATGCAGAAGTTGACAGTCACCCTGCCGCGCTTCCAGTCAGGCCCACCGATATCGCCCGCCACCTCCGACTTGAGCGACTCTTCCACTCCCGCCTCGGATGACAAGGCTCTGCTCTCTCTTCGTCTACCTTACGATACCTTTCTGAAACCAACCCTGCAAGGAAGGAGTCTGGATGCCATTTTGTCGCTCCCGGTCTCCTTGCGCGACAGTCTGCAACCGTACTTCTACCATTGTATGTCTCCTGCTCCCACACTAAATGGAATGGAGGTTTCCTAACTACCGCAAGTCTCCACTTCTTGTGCACGCACATGTTTTCCCTTTGGCTCAGAGGAGTTATGTCTCTGGTGGTGGCAACAGGCCATGAATCAGCCCGCATTCCTGTTCATCCTTCTCACCACCAGTGCCATCCACAAGTCCGCGTCTGAAACGATTGCAGGCGGCGTCTCGGTAGCCGCCCAGCAGTCCACCCAGCACGCCCTTCTCTTTCGCGTCAAGGCATATGAGTTTGTGCGCCAGATTTTGAACGAGTCGGAAACTGCTGCTCTGGAGACGACCGCGTTTGTCGTGGCCCCATTAATATGTGTTGAGGTCAGTCTTGATGACCCTTATCCGGAACGCTACTGATTCTTAGTTATCTAGGCGGCCGACGGAAACCA